AAAATGGATAATCACAGGAGTTCGTTAGAATCTCGGACACTCGAAGCCCTTATTTGTGCCAAGGATTGGTTGCAACATAAATCTATACCCCAAAATGTTTCAAATACACTTGAGAAAACAAAACTTCAGAGATAGGTGATAGATTCTCAAGTAGCTCTTAGGTATTCATTCAAGTTTTGGAACCGTTATTCAGCTCATTTAATTTTGTGTGATAATTGTCAATATATTTTCTATAGAATAGAAAGTTTAATTCTATTCCAACTTCTTTTTGATAATTTAACTCATGTGAGTTACAATTAGCAACTGCTTTGACATACTTTCATAGGTTGAATTGAAAACCAGAAACATTTTTAGTTTGTTACATTCAATATATAAAGCAAAATATTATTTTTGTCCTATCTTCCATTGTAGTTTTTATTATATTTGGATAGATTTAGCTTAATTATTTCCTACTTAATTGTAGATGGGTGTGCATACCCTAGTTGAAGAGAATATTTGTCTGTCTAGCATGGTGATACTTTGATTTTGTGGAGTACCTAAAATTTAACTTTTTTACACTGTATTTCACATATCTGTCGAGTGAAGCAATTTTAGCTTCTCAATGATTTAGCCAATTTTGATGACACTCTCCTATTTTTACAATGTATCTTTTTAAAAATATCTTTCTTAGTCATAAAGAATTTTTTTAATAATGTTTTTATACCATTTTTTTATATGATGGAAAAAAAATGTAAAGACTAATTTATCAAATTTAGAGTCTTTATTTAAGGATTGGAACAAGAAATTTTTGAAAACAACTTTAAACACAAGAAAGAGATACAAATATTATTACACCTATGTGATCCGAAGAAACTGAAAGAGATGACAATGATAGTTGTACTAAGCTTTTCCATAAGGATCATGATATCCGAGAGTCCTCTGTTTCTTTTTTCTTTCTTTCTTATCCTACTTGGAGAATCATTATATTAACTTGCACACTATTCCCTCCATAATGGAAGCCTATGTGAGTGGGTTGTATGGAATCCAAGATTCTCACCTCTTAATTGCTGATGGTCTACTTCTTTTCTCATGGGCTACTATAGAGTAGACATATTGCATCAACCAATTTCTGGATTAATTTTGTTAAGTCTCTGGTCAAAAGATTAACTTGGAGAAGAATATAATTTTTTCTAACAATACATATTCCCAACTTTAACGAGAGATTTTGTTGCACACTGAGCTCAGAGAAGCCCCTAGCCCATGCAAGCATCTTGGAGTGAATCCATGGTAAAAGCTCTAGAAATATATTTTGTCATATTATTGAGTAGGTGCAATTCACCTAAGTGGCTGGAAGCACCAATACTTAAGCTTAGCTGGAACAATTATAATGTATAAATTAGTGTTAAGTTATATCTCTTATTTCCATATGGAGTATGCTAAAATTCCAACCACTATTTATAATGATTTGGAGAAACTTTAAAGATGAGTTATATGGGGAGACACTGAGACAACTAAAAAGACTAATCTAATAAATTGTGAGGCTTATTGTATGCCTAAGAGCTACGGGGGCTTAAGCATAGAAAAAACTTAATTTATGAATGATGTTTTTCTTTTTTAAATATTTTGAAATTTATTGATTAATCCTGATGATTTATGGTGTCAGGTTTTATAAATAAGCATGACAAGAAGAAAAACCCTTTGGAGAATATGATTAGCAAATCAATTGATTCTGTTATGGAAATCTTTAGCAAATGTGTGGGGCAAGTTTCAAAAAAATATCACATGGAAACTTAGAGATAAAAGATGGGTTAATTTTTCGCTTGATCGATCGGGTCAAACTAAACAACCTCTTTTTTTTTTAATATGGCTCAAGTCGATAACATACTATGGACTACCATGACGGTGAAGGACTTAGTTAATATAGAAGAAAAATGGAAGGTGGAGTTTCTCCAAAATTGGTTTAATGTTGAATTATTTAATCGTATTGTGGCTATTCCCACTCCTTTCTTTAAAGGTGGTATTGATAAATTAGGATGGGAAATAATAGGGACAAGGAGTTTTTTTTTTATGTAATGCTTATAATTATCACTTGACTTGTGTTGCATGAGGGATTTTTGAGTAACTCTCGTCGATAAAAATGGAATCTAACTACCGCGGTTAATTGTAACTGGTGTACGAATACAAAAAAAAACTTATTTCACGTGCTTCGGGATTGCTTTTATGCAACAAAGATTTTGATTAGACTTGTTCTATCGAATAAAATGACTCAATTTTACTCCTTTTTCTTGCAGAGATTCAATTTACTATAATCTTAAAAGAAACACTGTTGATTCACACAGAGAACAATGGGTGTCAATATTTATGATCTCCTGTTGGTACTTATGAAAGTGAATGAACAAACTAATTTTGAAGAAGGATTTCAACGACCGATTAAATCTACAAAAAACACTCATGCAAATGATGAAAGAGATAGAGAATGATAATCGTGTGCAAAGTAAGGGAAGGTGATAAAAAAGAGAGATCAAACATGATTAATGATATCTCCCAGAAGATAATTTGGTTAATCTCAATTGTGATGATGCGTACAAGAAGACTACGTTCACCATCAGATGCAGAGGTTTGGTCAGAGACTCTAGTGGAAACTGGTTAAGGGGTTATAACAAAAAATTGGTCTGTGTGATGATGTTCTTATGGTGGAGATGTGGATAATGTTTCATGAGATTGAGCTAACTTGACAAGAAAAATTACAAATCTGATATTTAAGAGCGAGGCTATAAAATTATGATAAATGTGATCAACCAAGAGACGGAAAATGACCACAATTCCAAACTTAGCCAGCAGAATTAGAGGGATGGCTTGAAGGGAGTGACTTATCAAGTTCAATCATATTTGGAGAGAAGAAAATAATTGTGCCGATCGATTATCCAACTATAGTCTTATTATGAACAACAATGGACTTCTCAATCTTCTTAATTCCATTTCGAATGATGTGAAGGTATTTTTTTATGTGTGCAGAAAAGCAAAACAGTATCAAAGCAGAGGTTGTTGTGCAAAAAAGGAAAATAGTAGCAAAATAGTGGTTGTTGTTGTAGAGGAAAACAAAAACAAAGCAAAGGTTTTTATGCAGAAAAGAATAAAAACTATAGCAAATGTTATAAAAGAAGATCAAATGACCAAATAGGGTTAGAATGCGTAAATTAATGATTAACGAGAAGAATGTAACCAACAGTGACCTCGTCGAAGGCCTGAAGGGTGATGCATGGTGCACACATGCTAGTGAGATTGATCAGAGACAAATGCATTTGGTAGTTGGCAGGGTCGGTCTAACCCATTTAGAGGTCTAAAGAAAATTTTAAAATGAGACCTTTAAAATATATTTTAAGATAATAATTTTGTGGTTGCTAAGAGTTAAACTCAAAACTAAAAAGAAAAGAGGTCTACATTTTACCAACTCAAATATGATAATATATGTGACTAATGTGTAATTATATATTTTTATAACTAAATAAAAAAATTATGAGACGTTTTTTAAGTTTAATCTTTTGAGCCCTAACGACTTAGCCTAGGTTGCTTGGCCTTGGAGGTTGGCGGCACGTGGGACTTACTGCGAAGGTGAAATTTTAGTGGCTAGTCGATACGACGATGGAAAGTTAGATGGAATCACCAGTGTGAACAGAAAGATTGTGCATCTTTAACTTTGAGGTTTAACACTACCATATGTGACTATGACGGCTAGGATTTTGAAGGACATGAGATCACCACTCTAGTACCAACTTGAAAATAATAAATTAATATAGAATGATTGGAGAGATTAAATCTTAACTTGGTCTTATTTATACTTAGATAAGTACAATGAGAATCTCTTAATTAAGAGTGAAAAACCAATATAGAATCAGTCCTAATTTTTGTTAAGTGAGAAATGTAATTGAAATGATGTAATTGATTACTGCGACTGGTTACATCTCAAACAAAACTGTTAGGTAACAAGTTACACATAGGCTTTAATCTATTACATTTGAAATATATCGTTATGTAACCAATTACAATCATAAATTTTTTATTTTATTTTTTATTTTTATGTTTGTTACTCGTACCTCACTCAATATAAATGTATATATACATCTCAATAATATATGATAACTATTTTTCACCCTCAAATAATCACTCTCATTCTCTATCTTTCTCTTTCTACATTATTGATTAATTATTACACATTTCGAACATATTGATAAGCAACAAAAATGCTTCAATTCTTGATCACTATTATAATCAAAAGTTAATTATTACTAAATGGTTTAATGTTGTAATCGATAATATACCTCTCTAGTTCATTTTTCAACATTCTATTAAATTTAATAAAGAAGATATTATAATAAATTTAATTAATATTTTCACCAAAATCTAAAAAGTTAACTACACTTATTGAATTTCTTAATAAGTTTGAAAATTATTTTTGTTACTTATAAATGTGTCAAGATGGTGTATTGTGCTTGGTTGTTCCAATAATTTATACACATCAACACTAATTTATATAAATTAAGAAAATATGATAAAGAAAAGAGAGAATATAATTTTTACCAAACGATTTTTGTTCACTATTGGTGTATTAAATTATTATAAATACAGAGTGAGAGAATAATAAATTAAAAGTATTAATTAGATAACATAATTGATAAAAATTAAAATTGTATTGAAATTAAAAACGACACTTATTTTAAAACAAATAGTTTTATAAGATGCAACACTTATTTTACAAAGAGAGAAAATTGTATAAAAATCACATCATATCTCAATTAAATAATTTAATATCTCAAGAGTCATGTTAGCATGATATATCTCAACTAAATAATATCATATATCAAGGGTTATGTTTATTTTAGCTCACTTACATATCCTACACCGTTTTCTTTTTCATTTTCTCCAACGTTTGTTAGATCAATTAAAAGTTAAAACTATGATTATATTTTGGTTTAAACTTAATAAATCATAAATAGTTCATTGTGACATTATTAAAGTTTAACATGTTCTTCATGTTTTGTTCCTCAACACTCTTGTCTCCTTCCTTTTCAAAATTGTCACTTTCTCTTTCTTTGTTCCTCAAGAGAATGATTTCAAACACTTCTTCTAACTCTTTTTCACACTCTCCTATCTCATTGCTTGAATCTTGCAACTCCATGTATCAATTAAACCAAATTCACTCACACACAATCAAACTGGGTCTCTCTTCAAACCATTTCTTTCTAACTAAATTTATAATCTTCTGTTGTACAAACGAATCCGGGGATGTGTATTATGCACGTAAACTGTTTGAAGAAATTCCACAACCAAGTGTGTTCCTTTGGAATACTATGATCAAAGGGTATTCTAGAATAAGCTGTTGTGAGAATGGAGTTTGCTTGTATAAACTAATGTTGATCAATAGCATCAAGCCGGATAATTATACGTTTCCGTTTTTGTTGAAGGGGTTTACCAAAGATGTGGCTTTGAAGTATGGGAAAGTGTTACTTAACCATGCAGTGAAACATGGTTTTTTAGATTCTAATTTGTTTGTTCAAAAGGCGTTTGTACATTTGTTTTCGTTATGCAGGCTAATGGATTTAGCGCATAAGGTTTTCGACATGGGTGATGGATGGGAAGTTGTCACGTGGAATGTAATGCTATCTGGGTATAATAGGGTTAAGCGATTTGAGGAAGCCAAGGGGCTGTTTATTGAGATGGAGAAGAAATGTGAATGTGTATTGCCCAATTCGGTTACTCTAGTTTTGATGCTTTCGGCGTGCTCAAAATTGAAGGATTTAGATGGGGGAAATTACATTTATTATAAGTATATAAGAAATGGTATTGTTGAACGTAATCTCATATTGGAAAATGCATTGATTGACATGTTTGCATCTTGTGGAGAAATGGATGCTGCACGAGGTGTTTTTGACGATATGAAGATTCGAGATGTAATTTCTTGGACATCCATTGTTACTGGGTTTGCAAATATTTGTCGGATTGATTTAGCACGGAAGTTTTTTGAACAAATGCCTGAGAGAGATAATGTTTCTTGGACTGCTATGATTGACGGCTACCTTAGAATGAATTGTTTCAAAGAGGTTTTGTTGCTTTTCCGCGAGATGCAAGTGTCAAATGTGAAACCTGATGAGTTCACAATGGTTAGCATTCTAACAGCCTGTGCTCACCTAGGAGCACTTGAACTAGGTGAATGGGCAAAGACTTACATCGACAAAAACAAGATTAAAAATGATACTTTTATCGGGAATGCTCTAATAGACATGTATTTCAAATGTGGGAATGTTGAGAAAGCAAGGGAAATATTCAATGTAATGCAGAATAAGGACAAGTTTACATGGACAGCAATGATAGTTGGGCTCGCTAATAACGGCCACGGTGAAGAATCTCTTACTATGTTTTCAAATATGCTAGAAGCTTCAGTTACACCAGATGAAATCACCTATATTGGAGTCTTGTGTGCATGTACGCATGTAGGCATGGTAGCGAAAGGAAAATACTTTTTCTCCAACATGACCATACAACATGGAATTAAACCTAACGTAGCACATTATGGATGCATGGTTGACCTTCTCGGTCGATCCGGGCATTTAAAAGAAGCCCTCGAAGTCATTTTGAATATGCCACTAAAACCAAATTCAATTGTTTGGGGGTCACTACTTGGTGCTTGTAGAGTTCACAAAAATGTACAACTAGCAGAAATGGCAGTTAAGGAAATACTCGAGTTAGAGCCTGAAAATGGAGCTGTTTATGTCCTGTTATGTAACATATATGCTGCATGCAAGAAATGGGAAAATTTGCATGAAGTAAGGAAATTGATGATGGATAGAGGAATCAAGAAAACACCAGGCTGTAGTTTGATGGAAATGAATGGTATTGTCTATGAATTTGTTGCTGGAGACAAGTCACATCCTCAGTCTAAAGAGATTTATGGAAAGTTAGAAAACATGAAGCAAGAATTGATAAATGCAGGGTATTCACCTGATACATCTGAGGTTTTTCTTGATGTAGGTGAAGAGGATAAGGAAACTTCACTTTATTGGCATAGTGAGAAATTGGCTATTGCATATGCTCTTATTAGTTTAGGAGATGGAGTTACCATAAGAATAGTGAAGAACCTTAGAATGTGTGTGGATTGTCACCATATGGCAAAGGTGGTTTCAAAAGTTTACAACAGGGAACTAATAGTTAGGGACAAAACCAGATTTCATCATTTCAGGCATGGTTTATGTTCATGTAATAATTTCTGGTAAATATTTTAACAAATGAAGTATCCACCAATACCAACATGGCGTGGCACAACAAGTGATACATGTTTAGCTCATAGATCGTTTCAACCAAAACTAGAATTGTTACGGAATTTCAAGCACTCATAGATCGTTTCAGCCAAGGCACATTTCAATATTTCAGTTCTCCAACCCTTCCTTTTGCAGCTGTTGCCAAGGCACATTTCAATATTTCAGTTCTCCAACCCTTCCTTTTGCAGCTGTTGCCAAGGCACATTTCAATATTTCAGTTCTCCAACCCTTCCTTTTGCAGCTATCAACAGCCCAAGAGTTGGCCTATGGTTTAGGTTCAGCCAGCTAAGGACATGCTGCCAGATGTTCTTCATTTCTGTGCAAGAGAAAAAGAGATGTTGAATAGTTTCTTGATCCCTGCAGAAACAACTCGTATCATTACTCAGTAAGCCAAACCTATGCATTCTCTCTCTGGTGGCTAATTTTTCGTGGCAGGCCATCCTAAGAGAGAACACAGCTCTGGGTCTAGCAATGTTATCCTGAATCAGTTTCCACCAGTTCACTTCCTGCATTGGAGATTTCAGAGCCACATACATTTTCCCAGTGTGGTATTTCTGTTGTAGCAGCAAAGTATTCCACATACGAGTTTTTTTGTTAATTGATTTTTTTTTTTTCCAAAAAGAAAAACATCTTTTCTTTGTTGCTTTAAAAGAAAAACATCTTTTAAATTTATGAAAAGTTCAAAATTTTGTATTTTTGAAAAACATTTTTTTTGTTAATTTCGGGAAAAAATATTTTTTTATTTTCAAAAAATAGTTTTTTAATTTTTAAAAAAATCATTATTTTTTTACTTTTGAAAAAAAATCAAAATTTTTTAATCAGAAATAAATCAATTTTTTTTAAATAATAGAAATATCATTAAATTAAAAACAAAAAAGTACAAGGCGATCTAATCTCACAACCAAACCTAGCTTAGACCATCATCAAACTAACTAAATGATCTCTAAACTTAGGATAATTCCAAACTCTATACACTATCATATTTATAACTTTCCTCCCTATATTTGTATTATTTACTTTTATCTTTTCATTATGGTATCTCTAGATCCCATACACACACTCTACAACTCTCACTTTAAGAACCTTGTTCTTCCAACTTTTACCTGCATTATGCCTTGTAATCTAGTTAAGTTACTCTTTCCATGCAAGAGGAACATGATTAATGTGAAGCCAACACAGAACATCTTTCCAAATCTCTTTTAAAACTATACAACCAAAGAATAAATACTCAATAGCTTCTAGTACAGAACAAAAACAGCACGTAAGATTATCTACCAAGCTAAATCCGAACAATTTAGTTTTAGTAGCTAACCTATGACACGCCATACATAATGTGAACTGAGCACGAGGCCGCGCCATGTTGTTGTAGAACAACTTCCTCCAAATAACTTTGTGCCCTCTGGGTTTTTATTTTGTAGTTAGGGTTTTGATTTTGTAGTTAGGGTTTTTGTGGTTGATTTTGTGGTTTGTTTTTCAGGATATAGACTGGATCGAGTTTTACCGCTGAGTTTTATTCTCTTTACAACCCTTTTTCTGAGTTCTATTCTAATTATTTGAATGTTTTAGGATGAAGGTTTGGACATTGTTTCTGTAAATGGTTAGTTCAAACAAATTATGTACCGATTTTGAGATTCTATATTGTTTCTCTTGGAGATTTTCAGTATAGCAGATTAGTTCAAACGTTGTTGGATGACATTTTCCAGTATGCCTGGTTCTTTACACGGCATGAACAGATCAGTGTTGGTATGTTTTTTTGTTGAAAAACCCTATATGCCAAAAAATTGTTTATTGATTTAATTGTATATTTTACTCATACCTATTATGTTTTGATTTTTATCGGAGTTTTGTATGCTGTATATAGATGATGTTTTCTACTTATATGTGAATCTCCATATGTCTAAGGTGTAATAAGGATTATTTGAATTCATGTTTTTCTAGTTATATGTGTATTAAGTTTAGTTGAGTTGTTAACAGGAAGCTTTTGGCATTAAGGTGCGCAACTTCTTTCTCCCTCCTTTTATTATTCCTTTTTACCTATTTAAAAATTTTATAAACAAAATCTGGACATAGTCTGTATACTAAATCCAAGAGTTATTATTTGACATAAATGTAGCTTAGGAACCTTTCTTTTTGGTATATGGAAAGAATTCCCCAAAACAAGACAAAATTGAGTAAACAAGATAACGATTCTACTAGAACAAATGAGGGATTTCATATTGGTGTATAGAACATTGAACGAAGTACTAAATGGTGAAGAAGACACAATGACAGCAAAACGCTTGAAGTATTCTCTGAAATCAGAACAGAAAAAAGTTGTCGATAAAATCGTCAATGACTGTTGTTTAACTTGTATAATTTCACTTTGATTGAAAACTCATATGTGCTGACTTCTGTCTCAGCTGGCAGTTCCCTTCAACTGATTTTGTTGAGATGCTTTTTATTATGATGGCTTTGTGGATGGATGGAAGGATTTAGCTTGGAGTAGCCAAGCAAAACACGTGTCTGCTATAGATCAAACAAAATGGTATAATTTGCTCTTGATATTAATTTGTTTACACTACCAATTATCATCTACTTCTACATTTCTAACTATTGAAATAATTAATTCTCTCTATCATGGCACGGGTGGTTCGCAAAACAATTTTTGCATTGAAGGATCCAAAGGGCACAAGTTAACCTCTACATACTTATTATTATATAGCCAAACCAGTGATCGACGTATAAGCTTTATGTACATTTGGAAACTCTAAGTTGAAACAACGGGTACAAGAAGTCATAACACGTGGGTTGAAATGTTTGGTATACTCATATTGAATGATCCACGTTTGACTTCATTCCAGTCTTCTGTTTATTGTTTTTATGGTTGGACTTATATATTGGCACTTACATTCAGCATTTAGGTATAAATATAATCAAACAATTAACACTTTAGTTTTTGGCAGAAGAATGATAATTAACACATGTTTTCAACTCCGAATCAGGATTTCACGTGTCTTTATGTTTCAAACAATGAGACTGCAGGAGCATTTGTGCCAGCACATATATTATATGATGCATTCCATGGAAATATCACAATTTTACAGGAGTAATAGTTCTACTATTTATCATTTGAGGTTCATTCTTCTTTGGTGGACTTTCAATCACCACAAGCGTTGTCGGAGTCGTAGGTACTACGACCCTTTATGATTGATTTATTTGAGTTTATTTCAATCCATGTAATTTTCAGGTTTATGCACTGTCTAGAGATAAGGGAGTGCCCTTTTCGTTCTTATGGCAAAAACTGCATCCAAAACATAAGGTTCCTACAAATGTTGTATGGCTATGTGCTGCAATATGCATTCTTCTTAGTCTACCAATATTGAAGGTGATTGTAGTATTTATTACCATAACATCAATATGCCCAATTGGTTGGATTGTTGGTTATACAATTCCAATATTTGCAAGAAAGGTGATGCCTGAGGAGAATTTCAAGGCTGAACCATTTTATTTAGGAAAGCCAAGAAGTAAATTTAAATATAAAGAACAATTTGAATTCCATTATGGTAGGTAAATTTCTCGTATCGACTTATTTTTTCTATTTGATTTTTCGAGATGCTGGTCGGTCATCATTTTCATCATGTTTTTGTTACTTGTCTGATGATAATTCAGGTATTCTGCATCGTTTTGTGTCGTATTTTGCTTCTCTTTGAATAATTTCATATTTCTTAAGTTTTTCCGTATTTTATGTCTTCGTAAGTTTATTTCAAGTTATTTCCTATTTTATGCTTCGATTGGTTATTGCTATTGTTTCAGGTGCAGGTGAAAGATCCAAGGACCTCAGGACGAGAAAAGTCAAGAAATCAGGAGTTTTAAAGAAGTTTTCAGCAAGTTACAGCAAGTCTGACACGGCCACCCGTGTCACCTGACACGGGCCATGTCAGGTAGAGGAATGAATCAAAGGACAAAAACCAGATTCTCAACACGGGCGCCTGTGTCAAGTGACACGGATCGTGTCAGCCATCTTGGGAGTTGATGTTTTTGAATGTTGATTGGTGACCAACACGGCCACCTGTGTCACCTGACACAGGCCGTGTTGGTCTGTGTGCTGATGATTTCTGATTTTTCTATTTGACTCTAAGTGAGACTTAGAAGAGAGTTTTGGATATTTCGGACTGGGAACAATTGATTCTGACTATTTGAGACAATTTTGACAATCAAACGGAGGACCTTTTTCGCAAACAACGAACTCCAGAGTCTAGGAGGAAGGATATGAGATTCTTAAAGAACAGAGATCTTTGATGAGCGAACACGATTGAAGACCAAAGTTCCTTCATCATCTGTAATGTCTAACTCTTATATTTTTGTAATTCTCGTGAACAAAATATGAACGACTAAACCCCTCAATGCTAGGGGGTGTCCCTGATTTGAATCTGTAATGACTTTGAATTTCTGATTTTTCTCAATTCCAAGGTTTTTATTATTCAATTTAATCGTGCAATGTTTTTACGTTTTCCTGATCGGACCAATTATGATTGATTTATGGTTAACAACCAGCTGGGCCGCAGTTGTTAAGGTTTTTGTACGATTAGACTATAGTAGATATGATGGGTTCTTATATGAATATATGAGTGAACAATGAATATATGAATAGAATAGTAAAAAAATGTTGTAATTGTATTATTACGAACGAACAATTACAAAGAAGTAACGGTGATGAAAATGACAAACTGATAGAGAATATCTACCAGTCCCTAAGCACGCAGTGCTTCCCTCACCAAGACGGTGATTCTCAAATCAAAAAATAGAATACTTAGATACCTTATTTCCTCCCTATTTTATAGTCATAAACTTAGCTAATTATTCTCTCTCTTCCTTCCCTATTTTATAGTAACAAACTCATTAATTATAGTAACAACTCCTATAATTATTCTCTCTCTCTCTCTCTCTCTCTCTCTCTCTCTCTCTCTCTCTCTCTCTCTCTCTCTCTCTCTCTCTTCCCTATTTTATCGTAACAAACTCCTACAATCTATTCCTTTATTCCTTTGCCACGTCTTCTAGTATAAACCCTCCACACTTTTGGCTTAGGCCCAAAGTCAAGCCCAACTTCTTCACCTAACTCTCTATCAACACCTCGGTCCTTCACAACAACCTTGTCCTCAAGGCTAAAATTTGAAAACTGTCCCTTAAGATAAGCATTGTCTTCCCATATGACATCATCAACATGTTTGTTCTTCCACTGAATTAAACTTTGAGGAATAGAAACACCTCTCAGCACATTAATTCTAGAGCCTAACACCTTTTCTGGATAAAAGTCATCATCAAGTGCGACCTCTAATTCTGTAGGTAGTGCCCATTGAGTCTGATAGTCACCTATAGCCTTTTTTAGCAATGAAACATGAAAAACTGGATGAATTCTGGAAGTGTCAGGTAATTGCAACTTGTATGCTACAACTCCCACCTTGTCCACAATTTTGAAAGGACCATAATAACGAGCAGCTAGCTTTTGATTAATCCTTTTGATCACTGACTGCTGTCTGTGAGGTCTAAGCTTCAAAAACACCCATTCACCGACATCAAATTGTACATCTCTTCTCTTTGTATCTGCATACTTCTTCATTTGTTGTTGAGCACGCAACAAATGACTCTTAAGCTGATTCAGAGCTTCATCCCTTTCACTTAACTCCAAAGCCACAGCAGATACCTTTGTCTCGTTGCTTAAAAATCTTAACAAGCTGGGAGGTAGTCTTCCATACACCACTTCAAAAGGTGTCTTCCCAATAGAAACATGAAAAGTAGTGTTATACCAATATTCTGCCCAGGGAAGCCAGTGAGACCAGGACTTCAGCTGTTCCGATGCAAAACACCTTAGATAACTCTCCAAGCATCTATTTAACACCTCGGTTTACCCATCAGTTTCTGGGTGGTAGGCACAGCTCATCTTTAATTTGGTACCTTGTAACTTGAACAATTCCATCCAAAAATGACTCACAAACAAGGGGTCTCTATCACTGATAATAGAAGTAGGAATACCATGGAGTCTGACAATCTCCTTCACAAATAACTCTGTTATGGACTTGGCAGTGTAGGGGTGTTTTAGAAGGATAAAGTGACTGTACTTAGATAGTTTGTCCACTACCACAAGTACAGCTGCATAACCCTTAGATTTTGGAAGGCCAGTGATAAAGTCTAAGGACAAATCCTCCCAAATGGCATTGGGAATAGGAAGAGGCTGTAGGAGACCACTTGGGGTAGTAGCTGCATACTTTTGTCTCTGGCATATGTCACAAGCTCTCACAAAATCTCTTACCTGTCTTTGCATTCCCACCCAATATAAATTCTCAGCCAACCTTCTATAGATTCTGAGGTACCCAGAATGACCTCTTGTAGGTGTGCTGTGAAATTCTTGTAACAACAATGGGATTGAAGGAGAGTTTGGGGACAAGACCAACTTGCCATGATAAAATAAGGTACCCTGTTGCACAGTATAACCTGGCCTAGCATCTGGTGAGGCCATCAATTCAACAATGATCTTCTGAATTCCTAGATCCTGTTTCACTTCTTGTAACAATTTCTGACCCTCCAACCATTTTGGGTAAGAGACTATAGAATTCATTTCCACATCCCCATAACATCTGGATAAAGTATCAGCAGCTTTATTCTCACCTCCTGGCTTATATTTGACTTCAAATTGGTACCCAAGCAACTTAGCTAACCAACATTGTTGATCCGATGAGGAAATTCTTTGTTGAAGGAAGTATTTCAAGCTTTTGTGGTCAGTAAACACAGTGAATTGCTTCCCCCAAGATATAATGTCTCCAGTGCTGTATAGATAATACTAATGCCATAAGCTCTTTTTCATACACAGATTTTGATAAATTGCCATAAGACAAAGCCTTGCTGAAAAAAGCTGCAGGCTGCCTGTTTTGCATCAAAACTGCCCCGATACCCCTTCCGGCTGCATCACATTCCACTTCAAAGGGTAGGGAAAAATTAGGCAGAGCTAATACAGGAGTGGTGGTCATTATTGTCTTCAGTTGGATGAAAGCCGCAGAGGCTTCTGGACCCCACTTAAAATTATCTTTCTTTGTCATTTCCGTCAAAGGTTTGGCCAATTTGCCATAATCCCTGATGAACTTTCTGTAATATCCAGTAAGACCCAAAAATCCACGTACCCGTTTTACATTTTTGGGTTCAGGCCAATCCATTATACATCTAATCTTCTTAGGGTCTACTGACACCCCTGCGCCAGATATTATGTGTCCCAATTAGTCTATTTGTTGGCAACCAAACTTGCACTTAGATTGATTAGCAACAAAACAATTGGACATTAAAACAGCCAGCACTTGCTTTAGATGGTTCTCATGATCAGACATATTCTTACTATAGACTAGGATATCATCAAAGAAAACTAATACGAATTTCCTCAAAAATGGTCTGAAAATGTCATTCATAGTGGTCTGAAATGTTGTTGGGGCATTCATCAACCCAAATGGAATTACTAAGTATTCACAATGTCCATTATGAGTTCTAAAAGCAGTTTTGTGGATGTCCTCATCTGCTACTCTAATTTGTTGATAACCAGATTTTAAATCAATTTTAGAAAAAATTGTGGCTCCAAATAACTCATCAAGCAGTTCTTCTACTATGGGAATAGGGTACTTATCTGGTACTGTAGCCTTGTTGAGAGCTTTATAGTCCACACACATCCTCCAACTTCCATCTTTCTTCTTAACCAAGATAACAGGGCTTGAAAACGCACTCATACTAGGACGAATCACACCCGCTTCCAGTAATTCGGACACTTGCCTTTCAATTTCTTCTTTTTGATGATGTGGGTACCTATATGGCCTCAGATTAACAGGGTTATGATCTGAGAACAACTTGATTTGATGCACTTGAGACCTCTTGGGAGGAAGCCTTATGTATTCTTGGAATATGCTCTGAAATTGACTCAACATAGTTTTCAGCTCTTCTTGATTTTTTTCTGCACCATCTAACTTCTTTTCACCTTTTGACCAACTCCACACTTCACCCCTTCTCTCATGTCTATCTTCCAAGAAATTGTTGAGGAAACCTTGATGTTCTTGTTTCCCTCCCTGCCCTTGTAACATTACTAGCTCATCTTTATGCCAAAATTGCATAGAGAGAGCCTTCCAATCCATCACCACCTTCCCTAGAGTACTCAACCATGAAACTCCCAGCACTACATCCAGCCCCCATAAATCCAAAACCAACGCATCTACCACTATCACCATTGGACCCATATTTATACTAACTCCTTCACACACCCCTTGAGAAAACACCCTATGTCCATCTCCCAACTTAATGCTCTTTTCAGCCATTGGAGTGACTTGCAAGCCTAAAGCAACAGTGATTTAGGAGA